AAGAGAGGAGGAAAACCAGCAGCAACCGCACACGAGGGTTATAAGGAGGGATCAGAAGTGTTAAGAGCAGGAGAGAAACTTAATTTTCCATCCAACTATACAGAAAAATGAAAAAAAAAAGCAACAACCCTCTTCCCATGCCTTCCCTCCGACGCTACCAACTCCGCGGCAGAACTGGGAGATCCCTGAGCTGCTGCAAAATGCAGGAGAAACCCTGCGGTCTGCAGAGATGCTGTCAGAGGACGCAGCTGATCACAGAATCATCGAATATCTCTAGTTGGAAGGGACCCGTACGGATCTTCAGGTCCGACTCCCTGCTCCTCCCAGGAGCACAACTGCACATAACTTTACATAACTGTAAAAGATGTCAGTTTGCTTTTAAATAATCTTAAACTTTTAACGAGGACAATAAATAGGAACAACCGATGCAGTGATGGCGCGCACCTGAGCTGTAGCTATCTGTCGAGGACTGCGAGATGGAGCGGGAAAGCGAACGGCGGCCGATCTTCGTGGGGCGCTTGTTGAATTCTTGCTTTTGGTCAGCAAACTGGATCTGTTAAAAGAAATTAATAGTTAGGTCAGATGGGAAAACCCAACAGTCTGGTACAGAAGATTAATCCCAAGAATCCAGAGCCTTGAGCAGACACCGACACCATCTCAGTTACGGGCTGAATCGCAATTCCTATTATTTAACTGGGGACAGGATACGCTAAATTGCCTATTTCGTTTAATTTCAGGCCCTCCACCAGACGCAGCATTGACACGCTTGTCTTTTAAATACCTGAAGCGCCTCTTTTAACCACACCAATTAGAAAGCTCTGTCCCCACTACACACAAACTTGTTTTTCCAAAATGCTGACAGTAAGGGTTATTCATCACAAAAGAAGCCCCATTAGGACCACCCAACATTTGCAGAGCCGACGCGGGGCCTGACCTATCTCGCGACGCTTATTGCGATGACCAGTATGAGATGCTCCCTGTCTGCCGCACAAAATACAAAAGGCAAAAATGAAAACACTTCAAGTAACGAATGCCGCTTCCAGCCGCACTCCGTATTAAGAAACAGTTGAGATTAGATACATCACTCAAGGCTGTTGTAACTGTTGGGAGCGTGGACACCTGGAGAACGCAAGTATTTAAGTGTATTGTATTTAAGAGTGCACAACTTTATACACCAAAGCAAGAAATGAAGGATAAGGCATGTAAATGAAGTGACGTGCAGACTGGCAAAATGAAATTATCCAAGTTGGAGAGGAGGAACCAACTATCATTTACCAGCAACATCTACAATAATACCGCAGCAGCGGACGTAACACCAATATTTTGTGGCATTTTGCATCTACCCTCTTTTATAATGGAGCTCATCTCACTGCAACAAATTGTTGTGGATGACAAGCAGCAACTGCTCAACCCGAGATGAAGAATCAAGCCCGTTTCCATTTCAGTCATCACCAAGGAATGAAGATTTCGGAGTCCCCAGGAGCGTTTGCGAAGCCCCAAGACCAGCAGCGGGTTTGAGAGCAGCCGAGCACAACCAGGCTCAGCCCCACACGTGCTACGGCTGCGATAACTGCCACGCCGAGAGATAAATATTTATTTTAAGTCAGCAAAGCTGATCTGCTCCAAGGCATGCAGAGGACAGAAGAGATAAGGGAAGGAGTGTCACTTTTATCCAGGCGCTTTTAAGGGGAAAATGACATTTAACATTGGTATTTATAGAACAGGCTCCTGTCGGTGGCTTCATGCCTTCCCTGGCCAACGCACTGCTTGGAGGAGAAGAACCTCTTTCTCCAAGCTTCGTTTTACTCCTGCCCTTGGTTGAAAAGAACAGCAAGAAGGCCAAATAATCAGTATTTCCTTACTATAAACTGCCCAAGTCCAGGTTTTCACATAAACCAAACACCTGCTCTTACAGATGATTATTAGTGGTTTTACGGTAGAAACTCAACCCTTCCGTGCCCCGTTGACGCGCACCTCGGGTTGAACTTGTCTTAACGCTTCTCTGCTCACATCAGCACCAACCTTCAGCTAGTGGCCCCAAAGGGCTTCACGGGCATGAGACACATTTCAACAGACGCTCGAACCGCTCAGAGCCCACCTGCCTTGCCCAAGGGACACGGCACATCTCAAAACCACGCCAGCGGCTCAACATCCCTTTTAATTCTCTCTGTACGTGGCTACCGGGCCGTATGCAAGCATTCAGGAGAACAGGCTTATTGTTTTAGGAAATATTTTAACTCCCAGCGCTCATCGCTTTGTAAGCCAACCACCGACGCTCCCACCACGTTCACGATCGTGCTAAATCTCAGGAAATTGGAAACACGTCTTCCAATTGCAAATTCCCTTGGACTTTGCTACGGGCATAAACTGACTCAATCTGGTGCAACGGGGTTAAACATTTACATCTCCAAAATGCTGAAAGCCATTAATTGAGTCTATTAACTAACCCCTTGGGGTATTTTGAGAAGTTAGTTTTGTTTAAAGAAGTCACCTAACCATAAAGAATTTGATCCCGTTCTGGCAACTCAAATTCAAGCTCGGTGGTTTAAGCAGCAGCACTTGACATTGCACTTGAGACGGACTGGTGATGCTACAGAGCCAGTACCCAGCTTTTTTGGCCAGTAAGTGAAGGAAAAAGGTGATGGGGGTCTCAGGCGGCTAATTCAGAGTCCCCTGTGAAGCCAAGTCTGAGCTGGCCCGGGGACATCCAGCCCAAGCTGCTGGGGAGGGGGGAAAGGACCTGGGAGAGGATTTGCAGCAGCACCTGGAAGCTCTTTTTTTTTTTCTGCTAATCTTAAACCAAACAACAGAACGACACCGGATCAGGAAACACACAGGGGAGGGAAAAAAAAAGATCAAACTCATATTACAGTCAAGAGTTGCGTTGCGGATTAACACCTCTGATCCCAGTGGGACGGGGTCTTTGCACACACACCATTTTTTTAATTCCTTTTCTAAGAAGCTGTTGGCCCGAAATAACACCTTTTTTTTTGTTGTTTTCATTTAAAACAAATCCTTCAACAGCTCAGCAGCTTCATCAAAGCATCAGGTTATTCGTGTGAAACGATGCTCTCGGCAAAGTGAGATATGCTGGAAGGGTGAATAATTATTGAGTGAATAATATCACCCAACAAAGGGTGAATAATTCGTACCACAGTTAACATTTTCCTTTCCCACATCATCTCTTCAAGGACATTCAATGCAGCTATTTCAAGCGACACGGTACTATCGATAATTGCATTCAGAGCTCCTGAAGTACCTCCACATGCAACATCGACAGGCAAGAACACGCCGAAAAGCAAAATAAGTCATAAACCAAATGAGGCAGAACTAGAACTAGACTTTATAATAAACCCTGCCCTAAACCCCCTCAAGGGTTTATAACCTTTAAACGCTGCCACAAGCTGGGTTTAGCTTTAGCTGAGCATGGCACTGACTGGCAAGAGGTGGAAGGAGGCATCAGAAGAGGAGAACATTGGGAAGGGGTGTCTGCCAGGTCAAGGCTCAGGTCTGCTTTTAGCTAGCATTGACCCTTCACCAACGTCTTTTGACTTTATCCTTCGAACAACAGAGAGAGCGGGCAGGAATGGATGCTGGAATTTGCTTTATTTGAGGCATCACCTTCATCCGGTGCTAAATTTTGTATCGCACGGACATGCGAAGGGTACAAAGTACCGGCAGGAATATACCCGTAAGCCAGTTTCCACAACACATCTTCATTTTAGAGTTGAGATTTCAGGCAACGCACACTCGATCCAGCCAGAAGGAGAAAACCAGACCTTTTACCCAGACCAAAACTCCAGTTTAAATCCCTACCGAACGGCACAAGGCGACCGATGGCACAACACGCCGCGTTCCAGCCCGGCTGGAAAGACGAGGGCATTCGAGACTGGGACGAGAACAGCGATTTGGTTCCAGGTTGAATTCGTTCAGCTCAAACCGAAACACCTCTGAAGGTAATAGCCAACTTTGCACAGGCTGAAGCTCAAAGGAGAGCGTGAAGCCTTTGCGAGCTGCAGCTGCTTGGATTTAGGAGTCCAACCTGCTCTGCAGCTACACAAACGCCGCTGCTTTCAACCTCCAGCAGGGAAAAAAAACTAATTCAAGCTGAAAAACCTCACCTCCAGAGGTACAAGGGGTTAATGACTTCTAAATGCAGGTGCGTGCTCACTACATTTCAAATGAGCCAAGTCTCACTTCGACCTGGGGTTTCCACCACGAAGAGCTGCTCTACGCTACTTCACCAAGCAAAAAAGTCTCGCCGGCCGAGAGGCGAGACTTCCTGGGCTACCTCCCTGGTCGCAAACCCGTCGACTCCTCCGTCACGGCGCTCCGAAGAACAACCCCAGAGCAACGTGTTCGGCTCAACGCTTCATCGTTTCAAACCTCCTGCTCCCGAGAGAAAATGAAGAGAGACCAGAATTTTCTTTAAGCAGGGGATGCAGTCAGCTCCAGAAATAAGTGACTGGGGGGAACAGCAAGGAAAGGAGGAAAAAAAAAAGAGGGTAGAGAGAAACAAATGTACTTTTAAATAGAAAAATGGTATCACGGTACTAAAGACTGCCCTCACCTGGGCTTTAATCCCTGAATCTCCGTTCACGTTGTATTTCTTCTTGTTTGGCATGATGGCATCACCGACAG